TATCATTCGCATATTTGCTATCATTTATGTTCACAAAGCCGTCGACAGGGTTTGCCTTCACATCGATGTATAGCATAATTGTCGGCACAATTGTAATGCCTTTACAAATATTTGTGGCATTTCTGCTGCGGCTCTTCAACGAAGACACTGCGAGAATATACTACTATATAATCGCCGAAATGTTATCAATACTAACGCCCAGCACTTTGTTTGTCAATTGTATCAATCATTTGCAACAAATACTAAACGCAAACAATTATTGTCCAAATTATGTGGCCATTGATCCCAACATTACTTATTATTGCGGTAATAATAATTCAGATTTTAAATACAAGAGACACTGTTGTCCCGATTGTGCCGATGATTCACCTTATTATAGATATGAGAGGTATAGTTATCATCACGTTTATATGGATAGGTTTAGCGAAACTTGCTATGTATGGCTCAATCCGTTGCAATATATGGCTGAATATTACCTGAGGTTCGCATTGTATGCCATGTTATATATGGCTATAATTTGTATCATTGAATATAAAGTGGTTAAAAGATTTGTGAGGTTTTGTAAAGAGTTTTGTAGAAAAATAGTTATCAATGAAAACATTGAATTACAAGAAGTGATGGAAAGATCGGATGTAAGAGAAGAGTCGGTAAGAGTATCACAAGTGATAAGAAGTGGAGATTTTGATAGCGTTTCACTAATTGTCCACAAATTGAGTAAAAAAGTAAATCGGAAGACAATATTAGTGAATGAGTTATCGTTTTTGGTGAACAGAAGTGAATGTTTGGGTTTATTGGGAACCAATGGTTCGGGAAAGACATCAACCTTTAGACTACTCACAGGAGATCTGGACTCAGACTCCGGTAACGCATACTTGGGCTCAGACGCAGACCTGAGGGTAAAGACACAGAAATATTTCTCACGAATCGGTTATTGTCCACAAAATGACGCCCTTTTGGATCCGTTGACAGGAATACAAACTCTTGTATTCTTTGCCAGAATTCGTGGTCTCGAGAGACAGACTTACGACACATTCATTACAAACATAATAAATAAGTTTGAAATGAAAGCAATAATCAACAAAAAGGTTTCCACTTATAGCGGAGGTAACCGTCGAAAGCTGTCTCTGGCGGCGGCACTGATGGGCACTCCCGGGCTATTACTGCTCGACGAACCCACTAATGGTGTCGACCCCTTCTCTCGGCTCAAAATATACAGAATATTAAATGATTTAATGATTTCATCAAACATTTCAATACTCTTAACGTCTCATAATATGATTGAATGCCAGATATTATGCAATCGTTTGGCGATTCTCTCGAAAGGTGTCATAAAAACTATTGGATTCACTGATGAACTGAAAACTAGATATGCCGTAGGATTTGATATCATTGTTAAAGTGAATAGAGATTCAAATGAAGAAATCATTGAAACACTGAAAAGTCGGATGAGACAAATGTTTGGCCAAAAATGTGTTGAAAAATATAGTAATTTTGGTCTCATTTATTATAATCTCATGAATAGTGACATAAAGTTGTCGCAAATTTTCAATTCATTGCAAACATTGAAATGTGAACTCAATTTAGAGGACTATTTGGTGTCAAACTCTTCGCTACAACAGGTCTTCCTATCCATTACTCAATCCGACAATAATATCATTCATTAATACAGTGTTTATTATTTTGGTTTATATGACTTTTTCAGAATAAATTATACTAAAAATTTTAACTAAATATTAAATATCAAATAAAAATTAAAAACATTTCATTAATACTATAAAATATGTTCAAAATTATTAAATTGTTTGAATTTTATTATAACAGCTATTTATTCAATGAAAAAAAATTACTGATCAGACCATTAAGTCGGCGATGCTATGGGTTGGGCAGCGGCTGCAGTGGGCGCGATGTCGGGGGTGGGGGTCACAGCGGGACCAGTAATTGGCGGAATTGCGGTGATCACACCATTGGCAGCTACGCTGACCGGCGGGGGTGTTTCGGGTGCTTTAGGTTTGTTTTTAAACTTGTTTTTAGCCGAGAGGAACTTCTCCTTCAACGAGCTGTAAACCACTGCTGTCTTGTCCTTAACCTTAATCGCTGTCGCTTTGGTCTTAAAGGCGCCGGCACTGGCCTTCTGTCCCATCCATTCCTTGGTTTTGTCCGAAATGATCATTTGTCTCGCCTTCTTGAGAGCGGGCGCCGGTGTTGTAGTTGTCGTTGTCGATGGAGTGGTGGTCGAGAAGTCATAGCTATATGTGTTTGACTCGTCGTACGAACCCATACCGAAGTCCCCGTCGGCGGCAAACTTAAGCACTTTGTCCTCTTCTTGCGATTCACCCGATGTTTTGCTTTTTCTTTTGGCCAAAGACTTGGTCTCTGCCGCCTCTTCTTCCTCTTCATCTTCCGCTTCAATCATCACTTTCTTAGGTTTGCGTTTGTAATGTGCGTTGAGTTCTTCCCTGAATGTGAGCCGATGTCCACCCGATTCCCGATAACTAATTGTATTGTCTTTTGGCAGTCCATTGGTGTGTCTCTCGATTGGATGCGGAAGTCTATAGCCGTTGTTATTGTGATTATTTTGGTGTTGCCTATAGAGCGGCTGCTTTACGTGAGATGGATGTTCGTTGTGATAGATGTGATTGTATTGGTGTCCATAATGTGGGTAATTATGCCCGTAATGTCTTCTGTCGTAATAGTCATGTGTGTAATAATTTGGTTTGCATTCAATCCTGATAAAATAAAATTATGATTTTACTAAACAAATAAGATTTAATTATAAGATCTTATTTCTTACCAAACAATAAACACAAAGAATAATTGCAAAATAAAATATGGATTTGTAATTAACATATCGATGATATAAAGTAGTATTATTGTTATGATAGAAGGCGTACATGTTTTATGATATTCAAAAACATAAGGTATTTATTATGAAATACTATATGATTTATTGCTTTCGTACAAAAATTACTTATAAAAGATACGTGACCATTAAATTAAACTAGATAAATATACTTTAAAACCTATGATTCAAGTGAATAAGGTGTTTTTGAAGTTGCAAGTTAGGTTAGATAATTAGAAGCAAAAAGTGACTGTATCAGTGAAGCCTTGTTTTAAATTAATAAAATGTTTTTAAACGCAATTTACCACAATTGATGTTTTAAATAAATGTACATTTTATGTACTAAAGTACATGTATTTATTATATAGCTATAATTCGTATTCAACTACAGTATTATAGTATTTTGCTATAATAAACATTAATAATGTGAATAATTGCGACAGATTAGCCGAGTTGGAATTGTCCATGTGGAGAGTTTAAGTGTAATTAAACATGTATACTTTTAACCATAAATTAAACCATAAACTGTAAACATCATTATAAATGCCGTTTAAATGGAAAAATTATTATTCTGAAAGTTACGACAACTAAGAAAGTAAGTATTTTTGCAGCACGTTTTATTTAATTTCACAATTATGCATTTTACTTTATTGTAATTCACTTTTATTATTAGACTTACTTTTAATTTTGAGCTTATTAAAATACTATTAAATCTATGTGGATTTTTTTATTACCACAACCAAAACAAATAGTATTATAATTTTAAGGTTAATTATAATATTACATTATAATCAAAGCTAAATGTTAGGAAAATCACAGGCAACTTATTATACACTTAAATCTAGACATTTACATATTTATATAGACTTAATATAAAGTTTAAGCTTTATATACATCATAAATCTTATTTATTAGTTAGCAATAGTAATAGATAATAGTATCATTGTTTCTGCAAGTTGCTTTATGTATGTTATATTTTATGATTTATGTTTATTAAAGGAAAATATTTAATTAAATACATCTATATATACCGTATATATATTATTAATTATGATCGAGAAAATATATTAATAATTATTTATAAATTTGTAATAAAAATAATATATAAATATTAAAAATCAATTGAAATGATGGACGAAAATCTTGACGATAACAATGTCTACTATCCGGACGACGAGTCCAGGAAAAGGGCTCACATCTCATCGATGGGTGAATACAGACAACTGTACCAAAAGTCGGTCACAAATCCCGAAGAGTTTTGGACACAGATTGCCAAAGAGTTCTTCTGGAACCGATGGCCGACAGACATGGAGTTTGTGTCCTATAATTTCGATGTCCGCAAAGGACCCGTTGCGGTGAAATGGTTGGACGGCTGCCAAACAAACGTGTGTTACAATGTGTTGGATCGGCTCATCATAGATAAAGGACTCGGCGATCGCGTGGCCTTTCATTGGTGAGAGTATAGTCAATATAAATATATACATGTATATAGTTTATAAATTATACACTTAAACCTTGTTTACCTTAAGCCTTATATTTGAAGTTTAAAACTATATGCTATTAAAAAAATAACAGGCAATCCAATGATGATAAGTGCAGTAAAAGTGTCACTTACAGTGATTTACTGCGCGATGTGTGCCGTTTCGCAAACGTCATGAAGGGTTTGAACGTTAAACGGGGCGATAGAGTTGCCATATATATGTCGGTCACCGTAGAGGTGGTGGTTGTTATGCTGGCCTGCGCTCGGATCGGCGCCGTTCACTCAGTAATCGTACGTACGCTCGAAATTTCATCTTGTTGTTATTTTATTCTAATTAATGCTTAGTTAATTAATGTGTGTGTTTTACATTGGTTTATGCAACTTTTTTTTGTTACTTTTAACAGTTCGCCGGTTTCTCTGCCGAAGCGCTCGCCGACCGTATAATAGACGCTAATTGTGTGCTATTAGTGACGACTGACGGCGCCTATCGGGCCAACAAGTTTGTGCCATTAAAATCAATTGCCGACTCAGCGCTTGATATATGCAAACAATTGTAAATAAATTTTTATTATACTATTGAGAGAGAGAGAGAGAGAGAGAGAGAGAGAGAGAGAGACCTCAAGCATAAATAATTTAATTTTAATATATAATTTGTAAAAACCAAATAATTTCAATTTATTTTATCGTTTTCTAAAACATGTCAAAATTTTACATAATTAGTTTAGTTGTGTATTTTTAACTTTCACAATATTTATTGTTAAAATGTATTAAATAAATAACTTATAATTATATTAAAAATGCTTTTTGATTATAGAAACCACAAAGTAATGGCCTGTATAGTGAACCCACATCTAAACCTCCATAGGATTAACATTAGCAAAGGTAACACCGATAATGGAGACCATAACGATAATACATCAATCAATTGGTACCAAAATATGGATATCCTATGGACTGATGCCATGAATAAAGTGACCGATTATTGCGAACCCGAATGGATGGACTCCGAGGACCCACTCTTCATACTATACACCAGGTTTTTAAATCAATTATAATTTGCACTAAACATACAGTTCTGGCATAATATCAAATACAATCACTATTATAATGTATTGATACAATATGACCAATATATAAGCCTCTAGGCATATAGGGCTAACCCGTTTCCATATTCCGTATTCACGTAATAAATATTAAGATTTAAATTGCGCTAGAACAAAATAATGCTAGGGATAAATAATAAATCTATCACTATTACTAAACACTATTACACTGTTGCATGGGACTTTCCCAAAAAATATAAATAATTAGGGTAATAAAAAACTACCTTCATTTACATAATCAATGATTGCTTTTTATGGTGTGTTTGCAAATGCAGTGGAAGTACCGGAAAACCCAAAGGAATTGTCCACACGTCGGCCGGTTATCTACTCTACACATACATCTCATACAAACACGCGTTCAACTACAGGGATGGCGACGTATTCATGTCCACATCGGACTTGGGTTGGTTGGCCGGCCACACGTTCAGCGTATACGGACCGCTGGCCAACGGGGGCACAGTTGTCATGTTAGAGGGCACCCCATACTGGCCGACGCCCGACCGGCTGTGGCGACTCGTCGACCAATTGGCGGTCAATATGCTGTACACGACGCCCACTATTATACGGCAACTTATGACGTATGGCGAGCAACGAGTTAGAAATTATAGCCGTCGGTCGCTAAAAGTGTTGGCAGTGGTCGGCGAGCCCATGAATCCGGACGCCTGGCGCTGGGTGTGGGATGTGGTGGGAGAGCGCCGGTGTTCAGTGGTCGACACATACGGCCAAACGGAAACTGTATGTTTGAAAACAATGTTACAAAATCAAAAATAATTTAAAACTGTATATTAAATAGTATTTATAACATCTATGATAGGGAGCGATGATCACCGGACTGGCCGGCTGTACGCCAATGAAACCGGGCTCAGCCGGTCTGCCCCTATTTGGTGCGGTGCCCGCTATACTTGACGCCGAGGGCCGCGAGTTGGACGGGCCGGCTGTCGGTCAGTTGGTATTCAAGAAGCCGTGGCCCGGCATAGCGCGCACGATAGCCGGCAATCACGGCTGGTTTGAAATGACATACTTTAATAAGTTTAAGGGCTATTACTGGACGGGCGACGGCGCCCGACGCGACGCCGACGGCTATTATTATATGACCGGCCGTACGGACGACACGCTGAAAGTGTCGGGCCGTCTGTTGTCTACTGTGGAGATCGAGGCGGCGGTTGTCGGGCACCGGGCGGTGGCCGAGGCGGCTGCGGTGTCGGCACCCCATTTCATAAAAGGCCACTGCATTCACGTGTTTGTTGTGTTGTGTAATGGATTTGTATTGACCCCCGATTTGGTGGTTGAGATCAAAAGCAGAGGTATTTTTTGTTTATATTAAATTATATGTGTTTTAATTAATACAGTGTAATCTCTATATGAGAAACGTGTTTTTTAAATAAATAGGGTTTCCTTTAGAGGGGGTTGCGTTACAGTAAAAGTGTTTTTAAAATGTTTCTCATAGAGAGATAATTTTACCAACATGATTTTAAAACTAAAATAAGTTGCATTTTATTTTATATTAATAATTAATTAATTTGTATATTTATATAAATGTTTATATTTTTTATTTAAAATGTAAAGTTAGGGCCAAAATAGGAGCGCCGGCCGAACCCGAGGCGATCTACGCGGTCAGTGCACTACCGAAGACTAAAACCGGTAAAATTATGCGCCGAATACTGACTAAGGCTATGAGTAATGACCGCCTATTGGGCGACACGTCCGCAATGGCCGACGAGTCGGTACTCTCGGAGCTGTTCGCCATCACAACCGGCGAGATATTAAATGTTTATCCGTTCAATGATTAGCTCACGTGTTCATTATTAGCATGATTAATTATGATTAATTATCATTATGACTAATCAGAATTATTAGCGTTTGCATTCTTTATGGTATATTTTATTTATAATTTTAATTTTATTTTGTTGTGTGAATACAAAGAAATATTAATGATAACATAAAATTATAATTAGTTTATGCAATTAAATAAAATATTCCACAATGTAACATTTTAATAAATTTAAAATATAATTTTAATTGAATGCTGTATAAACTATAGTTATAATATAAACTGAAGTTGTGTTTATCAAATTGGTTAATTTTGCATATATTTAAGAGGTTAGTATTTTATTAATATTTTCTTATTTACAATATTTTCTGCACCCGCCAGGAATAAAATACATATAAATTATAAATGGGTCAGGGCAGCTGTAGAGCAGCGTTTCAATGCAAGTTTACATTGAGTCATGTGTTTTCTGCCTATCCATATTATAAATTATTAATTTGTTATAATGAAATAGAGGGCAACTAATATGCACGATTTTTGCCACAATTTTAATATAGGTGGTATGCAATGGAGTGCAAGGTGAAGCGAATTATTTCGGGCACCTATCGAGGTATGATAAGATGCCATTAAATGTGCTATGTGGAATGCAGTAGAGCGATTAAAATAACCGTTATAAAACTAGTAAATACAGAGATTATCAAAGGTTCAATTGAAAGTGAGAGGTGGAATGCACTGAAGTAGAAAGTAATGCATATTGGGCTAGGTAAACATAAAAGTGCTTGTAGGTGCCATTTGAGGCCCCTTACGAGGTATGCAATGTATAACTATGTAAAGCGAATTATTTTAGGTAAATATCGAGGTGAGCAATGGTGCCATTTATTGTCCGAGGTGGAATGCAGTGGCACGAAAAAAATTGCGAGCTTAAATCGAGTTAACACCGAGATGGTTTAATGTGCCATATACAGCTTAATATGCAATATAAATTATTTGTGTTACATGAATTAATATAGGTAACTAGTTGTCTATTATAAGAATCAATGAACAATATTATCATTGGATTGAGTGATGGATAGGAAGACCTGTTTTATTGAAGAGTTTGACACCAAATAGTCCTCTAAATTGAGTTCACATTTCAATGTTTGCAATGCATTAAAAATTTGCGACAACTTTACGGTATTCATGAGACTGTAATAAATGAGACCAAAATTACTATATTTTTCAACACATTTTTCTCCAAACATTTCTCTCATCCGACTCTTAAGAGTTTCAATGATCTCTTCATTTGAATCTCTATTCACTTTAACAATGATATCAAATCCTACGGCATATCTAGTCTTCAGTTCATCAGTGAATCCAATGGTTTTAATCACACCTTTTGAGAGAATCGCCAAACGATTGCATAATATCTGGCATTCATTCATATTATGAGACGTTAAGAGTATTGAAATGTTTGATTCATTTATTAATTTTGATAATATTTGCCATATCTTGAGCCGTGAGGAGGGGTCGACACCATTAGTGGGTTCGTCGAGTAGTAATAGCCCGGGAGTGCCCATCAGTGCCGCCGCCAGAGACAGCTTTCGACGGTTACCCCCGCTATAAGTGGACACCTTTTTGTCGATAATTGCTTTCATTTCAAACTTATTGATTATGTTTGTAATGAATGTGTCGTAAGTTTGTCTCTCGAGACCACGGATTCTGGCGAAGAATACAAGAGTTTGCATTCCTGTCAACGGATCCAAAAGGGCGTCATTTTGTGGACAATAACCGATTTGTGATAAGTATTTCTGTGTCTTTAACTAGTCCAGACGCAGACTCGGGTTCATACGCAATGGCCTCAGACTCAGATCTAGAGGTCACTCATCAGATTTCCAACTACAGAAAGGGCTTGGTAACCAAGGGTTATTTGGGTTTGTAAGTGAAGACAACACCAAAAACGACAACTCATTCACTAATATTGTCTTCCGATTCACTCTTTTACTTAATTTGTGGACAATTAGTGAAAAGTTTTCAAAATTACCACAACTTATCACTTGTAATACTTTTTCCGACTCTTCCCTCACATCCGATCTCTCCATCACTTCTTTATTGTTTTCAACCGTAATATTATTTGCAAATATTTTCCTCCAATTAAACACATTATATTCAATCAATAAGATTATCGCCACATATAATACACCATAGATTGTAAACCGGATTAAATAGCCATTAATAAATGCAAACGGATTAAGCGCTGGATTGCAATCATTGAAAACAGTGCCGACAAATGTCTGATGAATTGTCACCGGAATTGTCTTCTTCTCCGGTAATGTCGGGCATAACTCAAACATATGTTTCATATAATGAATAGTATTTAAAAACACGACATTAGGATTAATGAACGCTAATATCTCAAGAATAACAGACCAAACGATTGAATGATTAGTTGAGGTAAAAATGGACAACCATTGTAAACCTATGGCAACGGTTCCGGCGATTTGTTGCCATAAGACCACAAACCAAAAGGCAGTCAAAGACTTTCTGAATGGAAGTGATATTAAGTAAACGTATGGCACAAACGCCACGCCATAGACGGCAAACATCGCATACTTTAACAACAGAATCGCAGAATATTCTGTTGTCGTAAACAATGTATAAATCGCTGAACACATCGAGTGTAGGGTTAAGTCAAACATCATGTTTGCCGCCCAATACATGGCAGGACTAACTCCAGCCATGTATTGTAATAGCTTAAACTTGGTCACTTTTTCGGCCATTGGTTGCAGTATATAAGTGCCTGTTATTACTGAATACATGTAAAACCATACGATATAATCGTTGACCATATCTATGTATTTTGAGTGTTTGTTGGCCTCGGATTTGGCCGTTTCAGCGGTTCCCGAACTTTCGCTTAGCAATGGCTTATTTTTGGTACTGATCTCGTAGTCCATGTCTTGAGTTAATTGTTTTAACAATGAGTTTGTCATTAGGTTTACCGCAATGGGCAGCGAGTGTCGGGCCATTTGACTGTACCAAATAGTTATATCAATGTTGTCACCGGTTTTTGTCGTACGATTAGCCGATACTCCGACCAACAAGTTGTGGAAATAATTGCTTAAACTATTGCCAGAATAATCTACAAGTGATTGTTGAATGTCTTTGTGTGGATCGCTTCCAAGCGGTATCTCTTGGATATCATTATTGAACAATACCTCCGGATAAGTGTCCGACAGTATTGACTGATTGTTCCCCAAAATAATAAACCCTTTCATACCGTTCTTCCCATAGATATCCTGTGATTTCATTTGTATTTCACGTGTATTTGTTTGAAACATAAATTCAGTGTAATGTGCGATAAATGTCATGATTATCACCGATAAAACGGGTAGTAATACCAGTGATAACAATATTGGCCAACGGTGTGACAGATACTGGAATCGCTTCATAAGTATGGCATCGATTTGGCGGACACTGTGTTTGAAACCCGATTTTACGGGATTTTTATTGCAAGAATCGGTCGATTCCGGGAGAGAAATCCCGTTATTCTTGTGATTGTCTTCATTGCCATCACAGGTGGATGTGTTGCTAAAATTCACGCAATGCTTGTCACCGGAATCGGATTTATTAGCGGTGATAATCTCGTGGTAAGTCTCCTCCAGAGTAGTCAATGACAGCGATATATCATTAATGGACAGACGGCTTGATTTTGACTCTAAATCGGCAAACATTGGCCCAAATCCGGGACTGTCTTTGAGATGTAAATCGTAGATCAGATCCACGGTATCTGTGAAATAATTTTCGGTGACATTTTTTATTTTCACGTATTTGTCGACCAGTTTTGTTATCTTTCGATCACTTTTTAAATCAATTGGTTTATTGATTTTCAATCGATAGCAACAGTTGTGTTGTTTTCTCATATCAAGTGAATTGCCATTAAAACGGATCAATCCGTTGGAGATAATGCACATCTGATCCGCTAATACTCGCGCCTCTTCGCAGTCATTAGTGGTAATCAAAACGGTTTTTGTTTTACTTCTTGAGTCAATAATTAGATCCCAAACCTGTTGTCTAACTCTCGGATCCAAAGCAGCCGTCGGTTCGTCTAATACTAAGACATCGTTGTGTCCGATGAGAGCCAAAGACAGGACTAGTCGTCGAAGACTACCTCCGGACAGATGTAACGCCTGTTTGTTTATGTCTTCCTCGAGACCTAATCTAGTGATGAGTTCTTCACCACTGTATCCATCATTACTCTCGCGTATGGTTTGCTTTAATTGCGAGAAAATCTTTAAATGTTGTCTAATTGTCAAGTATTTGAAGCAAACGTTTTGTTGCGGACAAAAACCAATCATATTTCTCGCCGATTGTCTGTCGCGAGTGATATCGTGTCCATCAATATATACCTGTCCGTCGAAATGCACGGCTCCTGAAGTAAATAAGTTATAATTTATACTAATATTTTAAGTTAATTTTTTATAACAATTACCGGTAATTATATCAACGAGTGTCGACTTTCCCGAGTCGTTGGGACCCATAATAACGGCACATGTATTACAATTGACATTAAAATCGATGCCATTAAATATCAATTGCTTTTTACCAAACAATGTGTTACAGTCTTTGCGCAAATCTCTCACACATATCATAGGATTACCATTACTTAAATCAATAAATTCAGTGGATTTCATAAAACATTTTCGCAATTTCTCATAAATACATAAAACGGGAAAATAAAACGGTTTATGAATTGTGTGTTTGAATGGTATGATTGACGAGAAATACCAAATCAATAGCGCATACATTGGGTACGAGACTATCATCGCAATTAATATATGGCCTAAAGTCTGTTCATCAAAAATATAACCAGGATCATGTAAATGATGCCAATCGGTACCGGAATCTGAGTGCATTTCCAATAATATACACCTATGTATAAACCAAAAGAGGGCACAGTTTGGCATTAGACAGGACAGGGTCTCCAAACGCCAACCCATCAACATTTGCCTATTAATCGCTTTAAAGCCATACAAATAGGCCAAAGGGATTAGAAAAG